TAGAGCCAGAGGTGAAGAGCTACAACTCCCATCATCCCTGACATTACATACTGGGAATGTAACAAATGCCTAGCCCATTTTCTTCAAAGTACAAATACACCTGTAGTAATTGGAACTGCTAAATTTATAGGTAGGGCTATTCAACTGAGAAGACGTTTTATTGATCACATTGGGGTTGCATGTAAAGGTGATGAACTTATTGAAACATATTTTTGTTTTTGTATTTTATTATCCTTTAGTTTATTATAAGACAACAATTTATTACTATTAATTTAAATTAATATATGTGTTATCTTTATTTTGTCTAATTTATCTTATCCCATCATATTTTATGCATTGTATTTTATGTTTTGTATTTCCTCACATTTTACTATGTTATGGTCAATCGATTAATCAACAAACTTTTCACTAATTAACTAACCAAGATTTGTGCAGACATTTGCATATGTAAACATATGACTGCCTTTACTTTTACAGTACCATCTAGAGCAGATTAATATATCTATAACTATCATTGCCAGTGTGCTGTAGTGGCTTGAGCATTGGACTATGACTCAGGAGACCAGGGTTTGAATCCCTGCCTGGTCATGGAAGCCCACTATGTGACCCTGTGCAAGTTACACACACACACAGCCTCAGAGGAAGGCAAAGGCAAAGGCAAAACAAACAAACAAAAAACAAAAGCCTGAATAACAGAGCAATAACAATCAATGCACACAAAGGCTGTAATCCTACCTTGGATTTTAGCTTCACCCATGTTGTTTTACACCCTTTCCCCCTTCCCCAGCAGTTGTCAAGGGGCTGTTGCTACTGCTGCTGCTGCTGCTTACCAGTGGGAAGGGGGAGAGTGAAAGAAGGAGATTCATAGCATAAAATATCAGATGAGCTCAGCTCAGGAAGTGAGTGGAAAAGAATGAGGGTGCACTGACAGAAAGCATACCCTCCTTTTTCATCCCCTTGGAGCCAAATCAGCTTCATGGTCTCAATTGCCTGCCCCCACTTCCTTCCCACCTGTAAGAAGAATCAGTATCAACAGTATTGGGGTACTGGTCCCCAGACTTTTCCCAGCTGCTGCCTGTCTTGGGTGACAACCCTAGCACCCCCCAATGCCAATTTGTTGATATTAGCTCTACTGTGCTGCTGCGAATTTAAAAGAACAAATCTTGTTCACTGCTCCCTTTGCAACCAGTTACTTTGGGAGCAGCAACTGTGCAGCTGGCTGGGCAGTGACCAAGAAGCCTCTCACTCATTCCAACCTTGTGGCATAAGCCAGTGCAGGAAAGAAGTGTCTTAGTCACTGCTCAGCCAGCTAGTCCCAAAGTGATCAGATCTCAAATCCAAGCTCCTTTTTGCTATTTTTTCCCCTCTCTCGTGTGCTCTAATTCTTTGCACCAGTCTATCAGTCTGACTGTGTCCCACTCCAAACCACAGAAATGATGTCTTGAGTGCAAACCTTGAAAGAGTTTCTGCCACTACTAGTAAAAGACATGGCTAAGAGAGTAAGCTCATGTGGGCACGTTAAGAGTGGAAGACACTACGGGATCCTGAAAAGATGTTCCATGCAACTCTCATCTCCACCATGGTCCTAAAGGCCTTTGGTCTCCTTGTCTTTCTTGCAAACTGATACCCTAACTGAAGCTCCCCATGCTGTCCTCTTTCCCTTTACTGCCCCTCTCTGCTGTCCCCTTTCCCCCTTATCATTCCCCTGCATTGTCCACTTTCACTGCTCTAAAGGGACAGCAGCCTGGGAGTAGGTTTGGGACAGAGTGCCTAGTGCCCTGTCCATAAAGGGACATAGACTCACATAAGATGCACTTACGCACAGGCATGTCACTTACAGGATGCTGGCTATGTATGTTAGTGGTTATCTAAACTGACACTAGTCCGAAAATAATTTTGCATAGTGGTGATGATTGTACATGCATTCTTACTATTTTTGAAGCATACATGTGTGGTCTGAAATGGGGTTGGTGACATAGCAGCTGGCCCCTTACATTAACTTAATACAGCAGACTTGGTGGTCATGAGTTATTACTTTCTCCATTCTGTTCTATTCCCTTTATTGATAACATCTCCAACATCCGGTGTTCCTGGATAGAAATAATCATTTGGAGTCCATGGAGTCTGGACTAGATTTTGCAATTGCCTTGGTCATCCTGGTAGATGACCTACATAGGCAGGACAGGCAGAATTCTGAAAATTATTGAGGAGTACTCAGCAGTTGGATCAGTTGTGATATCCTTCTGGTATACTGTGGAGGGAGAGGTTTGGGGGCAGTGTTTTGCAGCATGGTGGCTCTCAAATGGTAGTATTGGGAGAGGGCTATTTTATCCTGTGGTCTCTTGTTTAATTCACTGGGAAAGGTTTGGGCTGAGTTGTCACCAGTATACTGGTGATATCTAGCTTTACTTTTCATTTCTATACTTGTGATTCCAGGAAGGCAGTGGCAGTGATGAACAATCAGTACTTGAACCCAACTTAGAAATGGGTGGTTGAGCAAAAGGAAAGTACTGTTGGTCAGATGTTCTGGAAATCTGGAAATGCATATTGAACCTGTTCTGAACCTGAAGAACTGCTGTACAGTATGCTTTATGCTTTGACCAGCACATCCCCCTATACATCGAGGTAGAGTTTTACCAGCCTCTACCAATTTGTCAGCTTCTTGGAGAAGGGAGGTTTAATGTCATCAATGTATCTGTGGCCTAGTAAAAGTTACTTCTAGAACAGACTGTACTGCAGTACTATCAATATATAGCTGCTCAGTGGCATCTCATAAGAGAGGTGACACCTGGTCAGGCCCTTCTGTTGCAGAGTGAGGGGGTCAAGTGTGGCCCTCCTGGCTTCCCTGGGGTAGCAGTTTCCTCCTCCGGAGGAGGTCAGCATGGCAGTGAAGGAGAAGGGTGAGGGTGTCCTTCCTGGCTTTGCAGAGGTGACAGCATTTTCTTGAGGAGGCCACTGTCATGGCAAAGAAGGAGGATATGCATGCCCTGCCCCCCCCCCCCCCCCGGTAGCCTCTCTTGCACTGGGTGACACCAGGGGTGTGGATGCCACTGGTGCTGTTTTAAAAAACAGTCATGAAATCCATTGTCACAAACAAATTTCTCTGTCCTCATGCTCCTAGAATGAAACATATATTTCTGATATCATTTCACATTTGCTGTCTGCCTATTTAATTGTGAATTTGACTTAAATCATTGGTATTACCTTTAAAACTTTAATTTTGCTTCAGAAACTACCTTTTCCTATACAGACCTCCTGGATCTTGAAGGCTAGTTTTAAAAGTCTTTCCGTTTGTGTACTGCATGTGTAATAGGTTGGTGAATGGGGAAAGAGATGGTAGGTCATTCTTTCTGGTCCCACAACTGTGGAACTTGCTTTCAGTGGATATCCATTACGGTGTACTTTTTTGTGTTCATTGGTAGATAGGAGATGGTTTAAATTCAAGATGTTTATATGATACCTCTCTTCAAATATTTGAGTGGCTATTATAACCTTCATACCAGGGTTACTGCCAGTTCAGGAACATTCCAAGCCTCAAGCTATTAGGACTCAGATCTGAGACTTCTGGATAGTCTCTGGTGATATCAGTAAGTATGACACCTTAAGAATCTTCCACAGCTGTTCAGATCATTTCATTCAAATAAATAATTGATTTTAATACATGACAATTACAGTCCAACTTTTTTTTTTAAGTTTTCCAAAGCACCCATATTTGCCGGCGTATAAGGCGACTGGGCATATAAGATGACCCCCAACTTTTCCAGTTATAGAGTTTGGGATATACTCGCCATATAAGACGACCCCTCTTCCAATGGGGGAAAATGAGAAAGTGTTGGAGGGAAGGACTGCCAATATATTAGGTGATGCATATTGGGGTATGTACAATTTGTAGCCAAGTAAGTGACCCTGGGCATGTCCCACACTCACCCTCAGGGGATGGTAATGGCAACCTCCATTTGAAGAAACATGCCAAGAAAACGCCATGATAAGGTTGCCTTAGGGTTGCCATAAGTCGGAAACAACTTGAAGACACACAAGAACAACAAAAAAGTCTCAGTTGTTTCATAGGTAGTACATGGGATTAGGAGCCAGCATGGTGTAGTGGTGTGAGTGTTGGACTACCACTCTGGAGACCTGGGTTTGATTCCCCACTCTGCCATGAAACCCACTGGATGAACTTGGACAAGTAACACACTCTTAGCCTCAGGGGAAAGCAATGGCAAACCTCCTCTGAACCAGTATTGCCAAGAAAACCCCAGGATAGAGGTTCACCTCTTATCCACTGCTGCTTCCTCCTAGTGCCTCACACCACAGCATGCCACCCCTTCCTCCTCCCCCCTCCTCCTCTAACCTGGACTTCCTCTCTTCCTCCTCCTCCTGCCTCGCCACACCTTCCTCCTCCTCCTCCTCCTCCTCCTCCTCCTCCACCCAGCGTATAAGACGACTCCCAACTTTGGAGAAGATTTTCCTGGGTTAAAAAGTAGTCTTATATGCCAGAAAATAACCAATGTCCCACAATATAATCATGATAATGCTACTAATAATCACCAGATATTTGGGGCGAGGGGAGGTGGTGGTGATGATGATGATGATGATGACCCAACAGGGCAATCCTATTCAGAAGCAAGCCCTCCTGTGTTTAAATGGGATTACAGTTTTCATAGGCTGAGAATTTAATATATTCACTCAAGACTTCAAGTTTTTATTTGCAAGCAGTCAAAGGAGAAAGAGTTGGAGAAACAGGGGGGAAAGAAAAGAGATGGAAGATTATTAGTGTAACTAAGGGAAGTCGATGTAAAAGGAGAAAAAAAGATGAGGGTTAGAACATAGAGGTGTGGAGGAAAAGAAGCAAATGTAGGTAGATCTGGGGAATGGGAAGAAGGACAAAGGAAACAAGAGAGAGGTACAGAGACAAAGGAAGGTTGGAGAATAAAAGTTCAACTAGTGGATGAGAGAGATAAGAAAAGGAGTAAGAGAAATGATAGGAAAGCATTTAGCCAGGGTTTGTGGGCAAAAGGAGGAAAAAGAAGATAAGGAGAGAGAAGGCAGCATTAATCAGGCACTTGGGAGGAAAAACTGTGAAATGAAGGACTAAGGAACACAGAAGGACTAGAGAATGAAGGTGAAAAGGAGTCTGTGCAGGGGTTGCACTGGGGAGTGAGTGAGAGAGAGAGAGAGGAGAAGGAGAAAACATTTAGCCAAGAGTTGCAGTGGTGAGAATAATGAGCATGAAAAAGAAATAAAATCAAGAGAAAGAAAACAAGTGACTAAGCAGATCTGAAGATGAAAGCCATTCATACCACATTTTCTGCTCACAGTGGTACAGCCCATGTGTCCCTCAGATCAAGAAAAGAAATTATATTGTGGCTTCAGACACATAGGAAGGTGGGACAGGATTGAGAAAGTTGATAACAACATAGCAAGCCACAAAGCAGCAATCCTGTGGCACTGTATTCAACAAATACTGAGGCAGTTCAGCCACTGACCTCTCTCCCATTGAGGCATAATGCCAGCTGTAGTTTGAGAAACTCATTGAGGAAGGGTGTCTACAGCAGCTGGTATGAAGCAGCATGCAGCAGCAGGGCTAA